TGGGTGAAGCCAGAAGGGGACAGTGACGCCCCGACAGGGTCGTCCAGCTTCACTTTGTCCAGCACAGTCTTCTTGATGGCCGCAGGTGACACCTTCTCCTGGGCAGCCACAGACTGCAGCTCTCTGCAGGGAAACAGGACACCAGGCCATCAAGACCCCAGCCCCCCAGCAGGAGCCCATTGTCCACAGGGAGGAAGGGGCTTAGGCCACCGGGCCTACTAACCCAGCTGGTGCCCTCTGGTGAGAGCTGCAGACTACGGGCAGACCCAGTGCCTCCCCCAGGGCCTGGGCCCATGCCCAGACAACTGATGTGTGCGGGCGTGCTGCCTGGGTGCCCACCGTGTACGGATGCAGGAGGCCTCCACAGCATTGATGAGCAGCGAGCGGAAGCCACCGCTCTCCAGCACGTGCAGGGCATGGATGGTGGCGCCACCCGGGGAGCAGACGTTGTCCTTGAGCTGGCCCGGGTGCTGCTCTGAGTCCAGCAGCATCTTGGCAGCCCCCTGTGGCCAGAGGAAGGGGTCAAGGGCTGTAGGGAATCTCCAGCCCCAGTACCACCGTCGGGCCCCACCTGTGCACCTCGGGGAGCCCCCACCAGAGGCCAGGCAGCACACTGACCAGCAGGGCCTGGGCACCGAGACGGACCGCCAAGCGTCGTGGGAGCCCCATCTTCACACCGCCATCGGCCAGAGCGTCCAGCGCCGTAAATGCCTGGGGAAGAAGACTGCTGAGCAGCCGACCGGCCTTGCAGCCCAGCCTGGACTCCAGGAAAGTCAGGAGCCAGCTCCCTATCTCCCATCCCCACAGCCCTCAGGCAGGCAGGCAAAGAGACCCACGTAGGCAGGGCCACTGCCGCTGAGCCCGGTGACAGCATCGATGAGGTCTTCCTCCACCTCAGTGCAGAAGCCCACGCTGCTCATGAGCTGCTCCAGCAGCTGGCCGTCCTCCACCTGGGCGTGGGTGCCTGTGGCGTACACGGTGGCGCCCTCCCGCACCACCACGGGCGTGTTGGTCATGCAGCGGATGACCTTGGGGGTAGGCTGGAAGGCGGTCAGTTTCTGCAGGGGTGAGGGTGGGTGGGAGAGGGGGAGACCGGTGGGTGTGGCCATGCATGCTCGCAGGCTGGAGACGGCCCACCGCACCGGTCCTGAGCCCTGACCTTCTCGATGGAGCTGATGGTAACGCCGGCAGCACAGGATACCACGATGTGGCGGTCCTCGATGTCGGTGCCAATCTCGTCCAGGATGAAAGGGATGATGTGGGGCTTCACAGCCAGGAAGAGCACGTCGCTGTGCCGCACTGTCTCCTTGTTGTGGGGCGTCAGGGTCACCCCCATCTTCTGCGGGAAGTGCCGGGGGAGGGGCGCTCAGCACCTAGCCCAGGCTTGCCCCTTGGCTTGAAAGAGCAGAGGCAGCTGGGACAGTGGGTGTGGCCGAGGCTGGGGGCTAGGCATGGCTCTCAGGGGATCCTACTCTTCTTCCACTGCCCACCCCAAGAATGGAGGGGCACTGGAGAGCACCCCTGTGACAGGGGGAAAGCGTCCCCCACCCCAGCCCACCCTGGCCTCAGCTGCAGCCTCCTCCTCTCTTGTCCAGGGCACTGCTTAGAAAGCTAACCCTCTCTCAGAACCTGTCCTTGGCCCCACCTGCATGGAACCGTAACCCCTCCACCCTCCACCCCCAGGCCTCAAACTGTGGCCACAGAGGACCCCCACCAGAGCAACACCCTGAACCAGCAGCTGCCCATTGACCTGCGATCTAGATCAAGCAGCAGATGAAGGGGAGGGGGGGGAGACAGGCAGGAAGAGGGCAGGCTTGTCTGTCAGCCCCTGGCCAGGGTTAATCCTGTTGTTGGTCCCCCAACCCTCTCCTCGCGGTGAGCAACCCCCCCCAACAGAGCACCTACCCTGAGAGCAGAAACGGTGGCCAAGTCCATGTCTGGGGAGCTGGCCATTATCTTGTGGGCAGCCAGGACACCTGGGGGTGGGGGGGGTTGTTCTTCAGGCTCAGGGCCTCCCCACCCCTGCTGCCCACTGTATCCAGGAGGCGCAGCAGAACTGCAGGACCGGAGCACCCGCCTGGCGGGACCTACCTGCTGACGTGAAGCCCTTGGCCAGGGCGAAGGCCAGCTGACCGGCCCCGATGAAGCCCACGCTCATGTTGGTGCTGCAGCGGCTCGGGTTCCACAGAATCTGTCGTGGGGCGCGACGTGGCACGGCCGGGGGTCAGGCGGGCAATGCCAGGGACCACCCCCCCACCCC